GTGAAGACCGGGAGATGGATGTTTTAAGATCGCTCAAAACGGCCAATGTTCGTGACTTTGGAAGACGGCTTTTGTTCTTCGGAAAACTGCCCTGGTAAGCATATTCTGGGAGAGCTGACTTTTTATGGTCGGAGGGGGGGACGTTCTCGTCTTGGACGGTAGTCTCGAAGCTCAACTCCTCATAGATGGAGTGGAATGAGCTGGTTGTGGGCAAAGGCTTGATGGGGGCAGCACTCGAAAGGTACTGATGCGAAGATGAAGTAGTAAGGCCAGGCTTCGGGGAGCTCAGGGTTCTCTTTGTTGTGGGCAGATGAAATTTGGTTGTTGGTATACGAGTCTTTGTTGAAGTTGAACAAGAGGCCGCATTCAGGTTGCAACTCGAAGTCGCAGTCAGCCCAGACCTGGCAATAGTAGGGGGACTAGCAAGTGATCCATGTGCCGAGAAGCTAGCAGACAGTCGTCGAGTGGCTTTCCTAGCTTCAACGTTTTCTTTGTCCGACAGTGACTCGTCTGAACCACTGCAGTCTTTGATGGTGGGAACAATGATGAGGGTTTCACTTCGAGTGAATTCGGGACCTCGAGAGTTCTTGACAGGTCCAATTGGGCCAGAGATAACAGGCCGCGTCTTCTTTCCGCGCGAGAAGACATTGGACGGGGTTGGTAGACGAAGTCGAGAAGAGGATCTCTGGAAGCCAGTGCTGTTTCGAAAAGCCTCCATTGCTGCTGTTGTTGCAAGTCGAAACGGAAGCTAAAGGTAAGGCATTGCTGGCTTTGTTGTTGTATTAGATCATGCCCTCCCACTCAGCTTGCCCGGGGAAACAAACGACTTCTTCTAGCGCAAGCAGGTGACGGGACGTAGCTGTCAACTCTTCGTCACTGGCAAAGCGCAAAGCTCGACCTGACAGACGCTGACACTGGCAAAACTTCACTACTACACATCAAAATAAACCAGACGTCTCCAGGCAACGCGTCCAAAAAACAAACACACAGTCGCTAATATTCCCAGTCTTTTTTCAATCCTGTCCCATTCTCTTACTGTGCTCAGCGTCGTGTTCCCCCTCTCTTCATTGCTGTCACCCGAAATCCCAACAACGTTCGCTGGTTACCTCTCTGCCCGCAAGCTATTTAGGATACTTTCCAAGAATCACTCTCAATACTCTTTCCTCTGTTTCTGTTATTTGAAGAGTACATCTTCTTCTGGCCCTTGGTCGCAGAAATAACCATCCTTTTGAGCAGGACGCTTTGGTTGTTCGGCCCTCTATCCCCTTATTCTTTCTGGAGCTCTCCAGCTCTGCGTTCTTCAAAACATAGATCTATGGTTCTTCTGGGTAGTTCTTCCCTAACGTGTAGAGTACCTACCTATAGCTTAGTACCTTACTGCTGTTAATGTTACCAAAATGACGAGCCGGGTAGGTAGGGGCTTATCGTGGTCTTAATATCCAGTGCCTGTCTATTCTTTGTCTAAGGCCTTATCCAATGCATCGTAACATTAACGTCGTCTACAAATGTCCATTTGTCTCCCCATTCTTGCTTCCATTGCAAAACTCGTCATTCCATCCATTGATCTCAAACTCAAACTTGAAATCGCCTTCTCCCTTTGGCACCGCGTTACCATTTCCGTCCCAAAGCGCCCGCTCCACCATCGTGACATTCCCCTCCCAATCGACCAGAACAACGGTCTGTCGCTGTGTGCCATACATGCCAGTCTCGAAACCCATTATAGGTGTTGTACTGGGATCCGGTCGGCCCTCGGACATTAGCTCTTCAGCAGCGGCTTGATCATCTGTCCATTCACCCGGTCCCTTGGCCATGGCCGCTTCCATTGCCTTTCGATGCTTTTCGTCGCCGATCAAGGGGATGAAGACACTATTCTTGAGCTCGTGAATATATTCGACGAGACTAGCGTTTTCGTTTCTGGGTAGTGTGTCGTGGCTGAGAACATCAAAGAGGTCCGAAACAAAGTCGTCCTTGCTTTTCTTGTCCGACACAGATTTGTCGATAGCTTCTCGGAAGAGCTTCTTTCCCATGGCGATCTTGGGCCATTCGTCTTGTTTTCCGTTCGCATCGAATGCTGTGTTGCTCAGACCCCAAATCTCACCGCGCTCTTTGGCGATGATGGGCACCTCTTCGACATTGCCCGCCCGGTTGCTTACAATCGCAATACCTTGAGTCTGCTTCCTCAGCTTGCCACAAACCATAGAAAAGCCGCCGACGCCCTTAACGCCGTCGTTCTCGACCAGTTTGTGGACGCTGTCCTTGAGGCTCTCTTCAGGCGGTGTTCCCAACCAGGCGGTGACCATACCGCCGCGGCTTTTGGCAGCATGAATAGGGTGGTTCTGGTCCTGAACATCTGTTTCTCGGTAATTGGTGAGCACGGCCATTAAACCGTCCTTGCTGATGCCCATCCATGTTCCTTTCTCTGCTCGTTGAAGATCCCGCGACGATAAGACTGGTCGCCCAGATGTACCGTGAGTCCACCAGTGAGGCCGCGATGTCGGCCTAAGAATGAACTCGTCCCGATTATCGATGGCGATTAATGCATAATCGGGATGCGCAGTAGTGAGAAGTACGATGCACATGACTTTGGTGGCTTTCCACTAATAAATATGCGTGTCTTGCTTTGTGGGAGTGTGGTTCGGAGATTTTGTCTGTTCCTGAAGTGACGTTGAAGGTGGTTGACGCAAGTGGCATTCATAAATGTTGAACCCGTTGAATCGCTTACAGTGAGTGGGTGGGGGACCTCAGCGCCTTTAAGCTTAAAGACTCCCTAATAAATAAGTGCCTTGGCGTGTTTGCCTCGTCATGACAAACACGTCAGTTTCCCCTACTACGTGTCGTGTTCCTGAGTTGTCCCTCGGTAAGATAGCGTCCCTCACTTGAGTTAGATGCCGAAATGATCTGATGTCGCTACGGCGGTCGGCTTCGGGATATCGCCCCTCAGCTCCAGCGAGTTGCGTTGCGGGGAATGGGAACAGCTGAGGCTTAGAACGTGAGATGACAGGGCGTAACAATTCCACGTGAAAGACACCTGATACTTGGGTAATATAATCCTTGCTCGTTTAGATCGATCCAGATTGCCGGGGGTCTCCGGGTCTCAGATCTTTTCTGTTTGTGACTTTGTGTCTGGCCATTAATTTGTCGCCTTATTTATCGTCATTTGAGATCACACCATCTCAACCATGATATGCTGCTTGTGTTTGACAATCAAGAGAACGACCATTATTCGGGAAGAAACCACATTTGGTGAAGCAGAATTAAGTCCCCTCTTCAATACAATTGATTGCCAAACATGTAGTTGTTTTTGCTCTACAAACATCATCGTTGACTGCTGCTATTTTTAGGTACAGATCGGTGTAAGTGGCTCTCATTTGAACCTCGACAGAGATGCAATTGCATGACACTAGAGTGAAGGCATGCTGGGCTTTGTATAACACCACGTAAAATCATAAGTGATATTCTTTCTCGAGCAAGCTCTTTCTGAATGCGACTGGCATTCTCTTACAATTGCAAGATCAAATAAGTGAGGCAGCACGAGGCGTTCTCCCGCAATACAACGAAGGTTTTCAAAGGTGGGCCCTGATAGGCTGTCGAGAAATATGCCACTCCCGTGAGTCTGTCGAAATGCGCGCTCTTTAACAGTATAAATCTAAAGTTTATAATAAAAACCTGGCAGTTTGTTGGTCAATTCCCGTTTTGGGTTTCGGATCGCGCGCATTTTCAGGGGTAATTTGAACTGTAGTGAAGCCATGATATCTCGTCTAAGTCGTGAGCCTCAGCGATATGGGTCCCCGTCAATTCGTATCATGGCCATGATTTTCGTATCGAGTGGCTCATCATATTTCCCGTAGGAAAGATTGACTCTCAATTTCATTCAGTGGCTCGTATAGTGCTTGCAATAATTCCAAGATGTTGAACAACAAGCCAGTCTTTGCTACGGCCTCGTTTACTCACAAGAACAGCATGCTCGGTCACACAGGACTTTGCTAGGCAGCAGATTTCTCACCATGTCTTTCTAGCGGAAGTTAATAGGCTTGTCCAAAGTCTATAGATGCTCTCATCCATGGTTCCGTGCCACCATTTCGGAGTGACATGAAAATGTACCACGGCTACCAAAATAGGGCAAATACTCTACTAGTGATCGTCTAGACTCGGTCGTATTGACTCCAAGTACTCTATATATCTATATAATCTGAACCAGCTGAACTTCAAGATCTCCTGAGTCGGACTTGTAAATGCGTTTATGTTCGTCTACCCCGACACAGTGGCGTTCTCTCCTTGCGTGCGGCTCCCACCTCAAATCAAAAGCTTCATTTAGTTCAATATCATACAAGTTTCATTTCGACCTTTGTAACTGAAGGGAAACATGATCATGGTTGTGTTCAGCTTGATCCCCGTGGCGTAGGGGATGCCCAATCATTTTAGGGAGCATTCGAGGGTGTATTATATACTTTACTCAGGAAATGCGCGCAAGATAATGGCTTTCTTCTCAGTGGTGATCTCACCTCCAGCTTCACTTACAAACGAAAGTATACCATTACACTTTGTAAATAACTTCCATGTCTTTACATATCTTCCCATCCTTCTACCATAAAAGAGACAATATCTCCTTTTGTTATTATCTAGCCTGTCCTCAACGACTTGAGATCGTCTCGCGGAATGGAACCCCTGGTTTACGGCCAGCAGCGATAGCAGGAAGCGGCCAAGAAAGAGTGTATGAAGTACCTACCCTTGGGGGAAAGCGAATGACAAGAAATTAGGGAAAGGGCAACCTCTCGATTCGCCGTAGCAACGATTGCACTCACCGGTCGTAACCGGAGTGTAATACTGATAACGGGAACCGGCGTCTCTTTACTCTTTACTCTTTATCACATCAAAACATCTCAAGTTCCTCACTCTCAATCACATAAGAACATCTCAACTTTATCACATCGAAACATTCCTACCACACATCAAGGGAAATCCACCCTGATATTAAACTTACCCCTAAACTACCATCAGAAATGTCTTCTTTTACACCAATCAACGCTCGGCAGGTGGAAGAGAAGAAGCGCGCTCGAGCCAGACAATGCTACTGGTGCGTTGTCATGAAGCCTTTGGAGGAGCTCTGCACGCACCGGGATAATCCAGACGAGCAGTGCTGTTGCGATGACTACGAGATCAAGCGCAGCAAAGAGGAGGAATCTGCGGTTCAGGCAGAGACGGAAGACACTGTCGGGGCAGAGCATGAAGCTCCTGCTCAAGCGACCGCGGAGCGACCCATTGTCAAGGAAAGGGCCCGCGGCAAGGCCAACAATAAGAAGACGTGCTCCAGGTGCAACGGCAAGAAGTACAACATGAGCAACTTCGCGGACCACATCAAGGTCCACGCCCTGGAAGAAAACGGGGTACAAGCCCGTTATCCTTGCAAATGCTGCAAGGCCGGAAATTGTGTTGTGGCTCAGAGGCCAGCGAGTATCCAGACGTACTCCTGCCTAAGCTGCCTCAGGTCCCATAGGAAATGCAGCTTCAATGGGCTCAAGACGAAGCCGCGTGAGAGATGCAGACCTGGATTGCATCCCGCTCTGCTGCGCCGAATAGCGTAGGCGTGGTTTTAGTGTCTACGGTTCAGCAGTTGGCGTTATACTGGTCTGGGAGTTTAATGGTTTATAGAGGTTAGAAGGGATATACCTCCATGAGGGTTCTTGAAGGGCAATAGACTCGTACTTTAGTGACCCCTGTGTTATTCACTAAACTAGAAATAGAACATCCGACCTTTGAAGCTTTCTGAATCTGAAAATCTCTTGTACAGGGATCTAGCTACCAAGATATCTGCAGGTGTTGTCATGCTAAGGTAAAGCTTCTAGGGGCATATTTATAGAGTTCCGCAACAAACAAGACGTTTCTATACATATTCTCTGTGCATTGTACACTCTAAAGATTGATACATTCTCTATGAGGATTTCCAGCTTTATTGAGGCCGAGGAAGGGGCGTGTATGTCTCTACTGTAGCTAAACATTTGACGCCAACGTCATGCAGGGTGGCCTTAACAGAAGCAATCATCAAATACAGAGCGGACGTTTCACCCGCCGCTAAGTAGTGACTAACAGTATTCAAGCTACAGAAGCAGTTTACCAGATTTCAAACTGTTCAACTTCGCTCCTGAAAGATTGTCGACTTCTGGATCAATTGAATGCCCCAGAACTCATCTGGCTGTCTGGCTTGGGGCCTCATCCTCTCGGTAGCCAGGCTGTACAACTGATAAGAACTTCTCCATTTTGCTGTTATATAGCTTAACTCTTAAATCTTTCATGCTTAAAGAAGTATTGGCAGGTCTTGTAGACCGGCACTAGGATTATAAGGATACCTATACATTGTGGATCTTAGGGTTGTAAGACTTGCTCGTGTCCCTAAAGCGTGCAACTCGTAGGTCTTCTCTTGTCTATAGGTGTATCACCGACGATAATTTCGACGCCTATAGTCTCTTGGCCCTCACGCATCATTGCCTTGACGTCTGGCGCATCTCTTACACAAAATACGAGTGATGTAGAACAAGGGGCATGGTAGGGCATCGCCTTGGCGATTCGGTTTCTAATACTTATATAAATTGCCGCCGGATCTGACAATTATATCGATATTTATTTACATTACAAGTACATGCTTAATATAATATAATACAAGGAGAATAGTTGCGACATGGCTCATGTAAGGCGTCCTTGAAGCATTTGTCTGCTAAGTGCGAGCCCCTAATTGTCTTTGCTATCAAACAAACATCTCTCGCTGCAGAGAACAAGTACTTCCATTCAAAATGCGATATAATTCGAGAAACATGGTGTTGAAATTGTCAGGCCAGTGACTGGTATAATAGAGATAGGTGGATGGAACAACCAACATCACTTCGTCCTCTTACTCGGCCAAGAGATGATTGCCGGCCACTTCAATGTGGAGGAAATCAGTAACAGGAATGGCCCTGCTTCTAGAAAGAACAAGCGTGATCCATTTATTTTAATCATAAATATTGTGACTTCGTTTAACAAACCTCAGTATAAGAGTGGTGGATGTTCGAGACTAGGCGGTGCCTGAGGTATCGCGATCAAAGCCTCGCTGTGTCCCTTCATCGAACGGATAGGTATAGGTTCTCAAGCGCTCCTCTAAAGCTTCTTGGGTCTTTGCAGACCTACGATGAGCAATACTGATTTGCCGCTTGCCAATTCACCTGTGACTCTCTCCTCAGCACGATGTGTCCTACAATGCCCTCACATTGGTCGACCCAGCAACTGGTCAAAGCCTCTTGAGGGTCATCCAGCCTCTGCGCTCACCAATAATCTTCAGTAAACCTGGTCAATCGTCGACTACGAAACATATTAGCACTATGCCAACCTCCATTTAGACAAAGGCGTGTCGGTATCACGGATATCAACCCGGTCTACCGTCCCATTTGCTAACATCGCCACCATTCACCATCACCGTGAATGACATTTCACAAGGCTGTGCCTCTTACCCCGCGGTTTTGTATTGGCTCCAGACATGTGAAGTGCTTGCCTCGCGTGAGATATTGCCTGGCGCGACACGTTTCGCGTATTAGGAATCTGAGATATCGCGTGTGCGTCATCGTGAGCTCCCTCTTGCGCGCTGCTGCCTATCACATATCCTGGCACTTTAGGACTCTGCTCAAATGACTTGTACCAAGCAGGAGGTAAGTAGGTAAGGCAGTTGATTCGATGGTCGGTTTGACATATCGGTGTGGCTGTGTCAGGGGCTTCCATGATGTGCTGGCCAACTATTCAAGTTCACGAGCGTTTGCGATAAAGTGTGACTCATTTGTGTAGGCTTATCGATAACCATCAATCCTTGAGAAAAGAATGAACGGTTGATTTGTTGGGGATTTCGTCAGGTTGAACGGGGGGCAAAAGACGCCCAATCGCCAAAGAAGCATGGAAATTGGGTGGCGGGGGAGTTGTTGATGAAATGACAGGATGGACGTGATTTAGGCAGCAGGGGACACGGTCATTCTTATCAGTCACAGACGAGCGATAATTATCATTCAAACGAGTGGTTTGAAGTTGATATCGTCCTACGTCACTTGAATTAATTAGGCTCACAAACTGTCACGTCACGTCAGCCCGTGAGAAATGGAGATGTTTGATGGGCCCGCATACGAGACCCAGAAAATCGGGAACCACGGTCTCCTGCAGGACCCATCACATGCCTCCCGCTGCCGCTGCCGCTGCCGTTTTGTTGCCGTGCGCGAATCGGGCCCCGGTGGCGGACCCGGCCGAGTGGTTGTGGCTGGACCCTCGAAAAGCACAGCCACATCCCACGTGGCTAGTAGTCATGCAATATGCAATGGAGGGGTGCGTGTTGAACCAAAGAAAAAAAAATCACCACTATATTTTGAGGCCTGCTGGCCAATGTTACTATTCTCACGAGCAAATGATGTGTCAGCGCTGCTGAGGTGGTGATAACCTTGGCAGCAGACCACCTCTTCACATGCCATACTGAGGCATCATGATGAATATCACGAACTAATAGACCTTATCACGACTTTCTCACTTACTCCTCCGCTCGCCCTGTCATTTCGATTTGCGAATATTCATTCTGTGGTCTAGGGTTGGTTACCTACTGCAACCGTGCAGCATCGCATAACAACACAGGGCTTCATGTCGACCCCCCTTGCTCTCCTCTGGCCATGCCCTAATCTCGCCATTGGTACATAGCCTATGCTTTTCCCAAAACTGAGATGTGATGTGACGTGTGAAAGAGCGGGAACATGTCGTTCTGGTTCCCGAGCTGCAGATTGTGCTAATGCATCCATTGGTCGGATCTCATTTGTTCTACGGCCGGACCCGAAAGGGCCCAGCACCAAAGCATCCATCCTGTACCCTCGAGGCATGGACAACGCAGACAACACCACCTTTCAGAGAACCGCTGGGCATGAACGCGCCTGAGCCTTGAACTGGAGGGGCTCACCTCACGTATGACTCTTCTCTTCTCCCCTCTCTGCTGTTCTTCTTGTCCACGGGACTACCGGGATCAGACTATTCTAGGCTTCTATTTCGTCACCGACAACTGGAAATTTTTAGCTATAATACTCCATCGTGATGCAGCACAACAGGGCGTTGGCGCTCCAACAGAAGACATGTCAAAAAAAGACCCTCTTTTAAAATATGCAATGCATGCAGCTGCGTGTCTTTGCCCTAATGGCCTCGCAGCACACCTTAAGCGCTCTCATGCATTTGGAGAAGAGAATTTTCCAGTGCGAAGGGGGAAAAAAGAGGAAAAAGCAACATAGAAACAAGAGTGATCGCCCTTGTCAACCCAAGTGGAGGACGCTATAGCGGGCACTGCATTCTAGTTCCGCGATCTTTAAAACGGCGGTGTTGCTGCGGTGTGCTTTTTGATCGTCGGCGCTTGATCTTGTCTTGTATTAGCGGAAGGGTTACATCTGCAACGGCTTGAAGTCTAGTCAAAACGTAATGTAATGTATATGTAAATGTATGTATGTGTATATCTTGAGCATTAGAAAACACTAGGGAAGCAACTTTACTGCACGCCATGATACTGGCAACATGCAGATTTCCTACCGTAGTACACACAGTTTCTCTCTGAGCCTTCATTAACAACGTTTCACTGAGAGCCGCCATGGATCTGTGGGATCCTGCATACGTCACTATGCGGCCAGCTTCTGGTCCTTGTATACCTTCAGCCTTGGCCGTTTTGCGTCCACGTCGTGATCTAGGTCTCGGGGAGCTGCAGGGCGATGGGGTTCCGTCTTTTTCTCTCTCTCTCGAGTCCTATCCTTGAAGCGCTGTGCTGCCTCTGATAGCGGCCCGTCTTCGCAAAAGAGCCCCGCGATGGTGCATCCCCATCAACGGTACGCACCCGAGCAATGGGCACCGTCTTTTGCAACAGTCGGTGAGGAGCAGAGAGAGAGAGAGAAAAAAGCTGAAAAAAGACCGCCTTGTTGTTATAGCGTCCGCAGTAGGTTGGCTAGACTGTTGGAGGGGGAGGGGAAACCTGGAAAACTTGTTGCCAAGGACCATTTATTTTTTCGAATTTATTTTTGGAGGGGCATTGGCTTTGTTGTTTGGAGGGGCATTGGCTTTGTTGTTTGGACATCGTCGCTTGACGCAGCGAATAGAGGAGAGCTGTCGTGTAAGGATAAGTCAAAAGCACCAGGGTTCTGCAGACGCATATCCGCCATGCAAAAGTCCTGATCAAAAGAAGAGAAGAGCTCATTCTGGTGTTCTATTGTGCCCCTCCATCACTTACACACCGGGGGTAGTACCCTCTCCCGCCTCCCCTCTATCGTGAAGCTTGATTGATGGTGGTGTACACAGCAACGTGTCTGTGTATGTATGTCTGCGTCTGTGTCTGCGTCTGCGTCTGCTAGACAAGGCAGTGCGTGTGGTGGATGCCAATCGGCTTCTAACTTGGGGTGCATGGCGGGACCGATATGACGGGGCCGCGGGTTTGTTTGGACATCAATACAGCAAAGCAGAGGGTATATGCATCGAGCTGCAGACACTGTCAGCGCCAGCATCAAGGGAAGGGAT